AACACAGTGTTGTTAGTTATGTGACTCTACGTTGTGGAGTCTGGAAGATATTCGACTCAATGAGTTTGAGTAACCATCTTCTTCCTGATAAACTACTCTGTCATCGGTTATGATTCTGGCATCCAGCTGGGAAGCGATTTCGAATGTCGAGTGATCGTGGATCTGTCGAGTATCACTACTGTAGGGACTCCCTAAGTCTCATGTTCATGCTCATTCTCGGGATTCGGCCTTCTCTCGTGTCCAGGCATTGGTAACCCTTTATCGTCTATCCCGGTCCTTTCCAGTGGACCATACAACACAAAAGACTAGTGAGTATTTAAACTATTCACAAGTCTGTTGCAAAAAAGTAAGAGCAGGTACCTACACACCGAGTCAGATCATAACTTCATAAGCCTCTGCTTCTTCTGCTTCTTGGAGATCAACCGAGCCCAGCCAGAGACTCAGGATATCGTCAATCTGATCCCGGGCAGCAATCATATCAGATGTATCATTGTCCGATGGATCCTTCATTTCAGAATGGTGGGCTCCGCTGGGAATCATAAGCGATATTATAGTGTCCGAAAGGTTTCTAGTCACCGCGCCTGCCGTCCAGCCATCCATACCACCGTTAACAAATAACACACGTGAGGTGATGTCAGGCAAGGTGGCCTCATCAAAGCCCCATAGGTCGTTGAGTCGATGCTCTCGAGTAGTATCGGAGAAGTTGTGGAAGACGTTGTTCCCAAAAGACTCTTCACAATAAGCGTTAAGCCATTGATCCACGGAGAACCTTCGAGGAGGGAACATATCGGATGGAGGACCATAACTAGAGATATGTTCCACAAGCTGAGTGCACGTTTGCCAATCCCAAGACCGTCCAGCTCGTCCGACCCCACAACCAGTCCAATCTCCACACGAAGCCGAATAAACACCATGTTTATTAGGAGAGGGTAAATGCTGAGTAACATCAACGCACCTTCTACCTTGGGTCATTGCTTCGAAGATACCCGCAATGCCTGATTGTTCCACCATTGTACATAACATGTAGGTAGGTGAATTGCTGCTAGGTGGATAACTTGCCATGTTAGCACCGGAGAACTCCATTCGAACCATTTGCACGAGCTCCTCGAACAAGCCATCCTCCCTACCAAAGACTTCGGGATTGCAAATTTTAAGTTCGTTCTTGGCCTGCTCAAAAGTGACCCTTCCAGCGTAACGGTGGACGAAGTCGTCAAAGGCTTTAATAACCGAATTGGAACAATTAGAACGAATGCTATCGGCAGCATCAGTTACACGACTGTAATATCTACCATCAAAGCGAGAGGCCTCCTGGGAGTACAATCTACCTGGTGAACTAGAAGCGTAAGCAGCATATACCAATTTAGGATACCTCAGACGGAAAGCAAGAGCCAAGAAACCACTATAGCTGCCACCTACAGCGATCACACGGCATCGCTTCGCATTCTCAACCGTTTCGAGAGTATATCGCAGAACTGTAGCATGATCCATAAGACTTTGCTCAACCGACAAATACGGTAAGGACTCCTCGTAGGATTGT